ATGCTTGACAAAAAGTACCAGATGGTTTTCAAGTTCACTTCAGGTGAACAGTGCTGCCTTGCCTCCAGACACTCTGCTCGAGAAGACTTTGAGTGTCGCTGGCCAATCACAGTCAACTATCTAGCGAGAATACACAACTTCGTGTGGTAACATGGTTGCTTACGAATTCATATTCAGGAATCTTGAACTTGAACTAAGCCATGTGGTAATCGGGCTTTAACCTAGAAATTAGTGGCTCCATGAATGCGATCGTGAATGTTGAGAAGATGACGATCATTTTGTCGTTTCCGATCTCTGTGGGCAGGTGTGAGGGGGAGGCTGGCAGGGGAGAACGTGGTGCCATGCGATGCCAGATGGGGGTTCCGGTGTATGGTCGCTACCGCGCGAAAGGCCTAAGACCGGGTCAAACATTTTCTTTCATTTCGATTCTGGATCCACATGAAACGCCCCTTTTCAACGGGCACGTCATGCACTCGCAGTGTGCCTAGCGTGACGAAGTGCGCGAGAGCGCGTCAGACATCATTCATCTTCGGTTCAGTATTTACGGTGAAGAAAGGTTCGGTGCATTCTGAAGCGATGTTTCTGCTCAACCTCTTTGAACCGCCACCCACCAGTATGAACAGTGATTCATTGGCTGAAAACGAGCTGGAACGGTACAGTATGACACGCAGCGAGAAAAACGTTGTCACATGTGCACCTTCCCACCTGCCCACAAAAGACGAGCCAACCAACCAAGCAGCTACCACCCACCTCCACCCCAGTGAGGGCAGCAGCTTTACCTTACCCCACCCTCACTGCACAGTGGCTGGCCACTACTAGCGTAGCACATGGGATCTCTCTTGGCGGACGGGACGCGACTGGGCGGGAGACGTATATATCATCTCTCCCAAAAGCCACAGCGGAAAATACGGTCGACGACGGTCGTTCCTAAAAGCCACTCTCGGTATATTCATCAGCGCGCCAATTTCTTTCTCACGGTTTCCCACCGAACAATGGAAGGCCCTGTTGCCAGGGCGCATCTCGCTCCACCTTCCTCGTCCTCCCGTTCAACCTTCCGGCGCCCTCCTGTTTTCGAAAACATCCACCTTGACGTTCCGCAGTCCCCCCCGCTTCGCTCCCCCTCCAGCGCCGGTTTTGAGACGTCTCAAAACGTTCCGCAGTCCCCCCAGCTTCGCTCCTCCTCCAGCGCGGCGGCCGTTCCTCCACGCTTCAGCACTCCCACCTTCAGGTCCACCAGTGGCGAAGAATGTGGTAATCTGCAAGGTCCGCGCTTTTCGCCGCGCGAATGGCGTCCGGCGGCGGCCGTTTCTGTGGTGCGCAGCCCGAGCGCGGCGCTCGTGTCGCGCCTTGCCGTCGCATCGGCGGAAATGGATCGCGTGTGGATCGAAGACTCTTCGTCGGACGAGAGCCCATCGAACGAGTCTCTGCGTGCAGGCCGCGATGATTCAGATTCTCGGTCGTTCTGGCCGGTGAACAGGGGAAGGCGCGAGGTGAGGAGATGGTTTTCTGATTCAGAGCGTCCTGTTGCCGTCTGTGCTCCCGTCCTCGTCCCTGGCAGTAGTAGCCTCAGCAGCAGCAGTAGTAGCGTCAGCAGCAGCAGCGCGAGATTACCGACGTTGCTAGATTCTCGCAGCAGCAAGCTTCAGGCCTTTTCGTGGGGTTACGATGTTACCACAAGGGTGGAGGAGATCAGCGAAAAGGCGCATCCCGTCCATTCGCCGCAAAGCGCCGCCGCCACTGCCAGCGCACCCACAGCATCACAGCCCCGGGCTGCTTGGAACAGTTTGGGCTCGTATGAACAAAAGCCTCGTTCCAAAGGTCATGGAGGATCAGGTTCGGCGTCAGACCGTCTGGGGGAACAATGTGACAGCATGCAAGCCCCGTGCTGCCTCTGCTTTTCCGAATACACTGGCGTTCATCGCCAAACATGCTGCCTCCAGTCTCCGAGTCTTTCCAGCCATCGGAGCAGCTCCTTCGAAGCTGTTGTTTTGCTGCGGCGATCTTCGCTAGGCGAGGGGGAGAATTGCCTCGTCAGCTGCTTGGCTGGCAGCCCCAGATCGCGAGGAAGCTGCGGCTTCGCAGCTGTTGGCCGCCGCCGCGTGTCGTTCAACAGGATGGTACACGTGCGCTACATTGGGGGCAATGGCACGTGTGGATAATTCTTGAGTCGACTCTAAAGTCACCTCGCAGCTGTCGGCCGCCGTGTGACGTTCTAACAAGACGGTCCACGTGCGCGACATTGGGGATAACGGCACCTCCTCCGTCAGGTGTAGCACGGATTTCACGTGAAATGGGGGTGCTATTGAGGCGTCTCAAAAACACCCCCATTTCACGCGGCTTAGATAACGGCACTTGTAGATAACGGCACCTCCGTCAGGTGTAGCACAGATTGCGCTGGAAGCAGCTGGAAAGACGATGGTCGGGGTGACTGCACGACGGATGATGCGTCTCCTTCCTGCAGCGCCGCATTAAAAAAGTCATGACGCAGGTGAAATGCTGATAACCCGGAGCAGAGAACGGATGGTGATAAGAAGAACAAAGCAGAGAGCACACAACAAAGTTGGCAATCGCGCACTGAAAGCTATCCAGCAGTGCCCTCAGCCCAGCTACTGATACCTGGCGACCTTTGAGTCAGACTCAGAAATTACCTGTCGACCCGTTACCTGGCGACCTGGATGGTCTACTGTCAGAAAGCATGGCTAGAAGTGTCCAACTGTATCAACGAGTTGCATCGTATAGGGTTCAGTACTTTGTAGGTTTGTACATATGTACCCGTCTCCATCTAGTCATGCCCCACTGCGCTTGCACAACTGTATGTCTTTAACACCCTCTTAGCATCTTGCATGGAATGGAAAGCAAAACCCTGAAACAATCTGGCATCACCTTTGCGGCACCTCAAAAGAGCGAGCGACTGTGGTGCTAGCCACTCTCACTCTGCTTGCTTCACCACCTCAGACTGTGGTGCTAGCCACTCTCACTCTGCTTGCTTCACCGCCCTCTTGACCAATGTAACCTGCCTCCAGATTGTCGTGATTGTCTTGAGATGTCTTAAAACGAGTACGGGCACTGGGTACACTCACTCTGCCTCTTCCACAACCTCCTTCACTGAATTAACCTGCATCCGGAGACACAGGCAGACATGGGGCAGACACGAAGTGAGCCTGTTTTGAAACGCCTTACAACAAGTACTATGAACACTGGGTGCGCTCACTCTGCCTCTTCAACAACCTCCTTCACTGAAATAACCTGCATCCGGAGACACAAGCAGACATGCAGCAGACACGAGCAGTCATGGGAAGACATGGGGCAGACACGAGCAGTCATGGGGCGGACATGGGACAGTCATGGGGCGGACATGGGACAGTCATGGGGCAGACATGGGACAGTCATGGGGCAGACATGGGACAGTCATGGGCAGACATGGGCAGACATGGGCAGACATGGGCAGACATGGGCAGACAAGGAGAGACAAGAGCAGACAAGGGAAGGCAAGGGAGAACAAGGGGAGGTGACGGGGTAAAAGAGACCAAGTGTACGAGGAGAAAACTCATTTTGAGGCGCCTCAAGAGGTGACGGGGTAAAAGAGACCAAGTGTACGAGGAGAAAACTCATGGCACTAGCCTTAGCATTAAAAGATACGAATCCATTCAGCCAATGAGCATTCTCTTGATGGAAGCCCATGGCACTGGCCTGCCCAAACATTGATCCATGAAGCTCCATCGTACATACTAGAAAGCTGTACGCAGTGCTGTTGCCTTGCTCACACTTCCTGTCACCAAGAATCCGTACCCAGTACTGTAGCCTTCCTAACACTTCCTGTCACCAAGAATCTAAAGCATGTCAAATGACTAAACTCGGATGTTAGCCCTCTAAAGCGCCCCTCTTGCCTCTGAATAGTAATGCATGAACATCAACATGCAACAGGAACACTCAGATTTTATTACAGTCATGCCCCTAATTGCCACACTGATATTGGTGTTGCTTTTGAGAATTCTCAAAAGGTCATCACACTCATCTATGATGCACTGTCCATGAGGATTATTCCCAACCCGCTCACTAGGTGACTTTTGAGTCGACTCAACAGCCTCCTGGTTGTAAAAGTTGTACTTTGAGACGTCTCAAAATACAACTTTTATCACAGGATTATTCCCAACCCGGTCACTAGGTGACTTTTGAGTCGACTCAACAGCCTCCTGGTTGCCACACTGATGTTGGTGTTGCGTTTGAGAAGTCTCAGCAGGTCATTATGTTGCCACACTCACCTCTGACGCACACTCACCTCTGATGCACTGAACACGAGCATTATTCTCAACCCGCTCATTAGAATCACAGATGGGGAGGGGAGGGGACATGGTCTGTCAAGATTCGTTACAATCACATCCGTTCTACTCACATCTGGGATACAGTGTGTAAGCATGTTCTCTACTCCGCTCTTTAGAGTCACAGAGGAGCTCGGGCAGCCTGTGCAAGCCATTCACTATAATCACATCTGTTCTACTCACCTCTGGGATGTAGTGTGTGAGCATGTTCTCGACCCCGCTCTTTAGAGTCACAGAGGAGCTCGGGCAGCCACTGCAGGCGCCCTTCATGCGCAGATACACGATTCCCGTGGCTCTGAGGGGTGGGTGGTACGCAAGGTGACGTGGACGTGGGATCATGCTTGGCTAAGAACCCATGGTGACGTATAAAAACTACGCTTGGGTGGGCACTGGAAGAACCCATGGTGCCTTGCCTACCCAAGCGTACAGCTGCTGAAGACACAATCAAATTGGCCCTGGTGGTTGATAAGTGGGAGACACAGGTTTGAGGTTTACGTACAGAAAGGCACTGCAAGAGGGTGATGCGCCAAGCGGATGACGTGGCAAGCGGATGGCGTGGCAAGAGAGTGACATGGCAAGAGGTTGACATGAAGAGCTCACTCGTCAAAGTCAACCCAGATCAAACTCACTCGTCAAAGTCAACCAAGTCAAACTCACTCGTCAAAGTCAACAAAGTCAAACTCACTCGTCAAAGTCAACAAAGTCAATGTCCCCTCCGTCCTCCTGCACTGCCGGTCGAATGCGCGTCTCCAGCAGCTCCCTTATCATCAGCACGGTTTCGCTCTCGTCCTGATGGGGCAAGATGGGAGACGTGAGTTCAAATGGGGAAAAAGAGGGGGACCAGAGGAGAGACGGGTTGAACGCGCGTTTTCAGCAGCTCCCATGTCATCAGCACCGTCTCGCTCTCGTCCTGAAGGGAGTGGCGAAGGGGGGAGAGGGGAACACGGGGAGGGGAAAGGGGGGTAAAGGACGGAGGGAGAATGGTTGGAGCCGAATGCACGTTTCCAGGAGCTCCCATGCCATCAGCACCGTCTCGCTTTCGTCCTGACGGGAGTGGCGGAGGTGGGGGGGCGGAACAAGGAGAGGGGAAAAGGGGAAAAAGACAGGGAGAATGGCAGGGAACGGGTTGGAGTCAAATACGTGTCTCCAGCAACTCCCTTATCATCAGAACCATCTCGCTCTCGTCCTGAAGGGCAAGAAGTGATTCGTAAGGGGTGGTGAAGGGGAGAGGACAGAGGGGAGACTGGCTGGGAGCGGGTTGGGTTTGAATTTTGAAGCACTCTCCAGCAACTCCCTTATCATCAGCACCGTCTCACTCTCGCCCTGATGCAAACCAAGGGGGAAGGAGTGAAGTAGGGAAGGGGGCAATTTCAGGTCTTGTATTCTATCCTCAACACCATTTCACCTCTTCGTAAGTTGTTGCTCGTCGTCGCCCCACATCTAGTTCGTTATGAGACGTCTCAAAACACATCGCCCCACATCTAGTTCGTTTTGAGACGTCTCACAACACGTCGCCCCACATCTAGTTCGTTTTGAGACGTCTCACAACACGTCGCCCCACATCTAGTTCGTTATGAGACGTCTCAAAACACGTCGCCCCACATCTAGTTCGTTTTGAGACGTCTCACAACACGTCGCCCCACATCTAGTTCGTTTTGAGACGTCTCACAACACGTCGCCCCACATCTAGTTCGTTTTGAGACGTCTCAAAACACGTCGCCCCACATCTAGTTCGTTTTGAGACGTCTCACAACACGTCGCCCCACATCTAGTTCGTTTTGAGACGTCTCACAACACGTCGCCCCACATCTAGTTCGTTTTGAGACGTCTCAAAACACGTCACCCCACATCTAGTTCGTTTTGAGACGTCTCACAACACGTCGCCCCACAACACATCTGATCGACATCTGATTCAACCCACAATTGATTCTACCATTCGCCACTGCACCCAAACTTATCATACCACTATTGCACGCACCCCTTCTCACATACCGTTTTGCCACTACATCTCAACTCATCTTCCCGTTGTTGCCATTGCAACTGTGCAACGTTTTGTGGGGAATTCCCAAATAAAACCCTGCAGCCTCAAGAAAACTCCGCGCTCCTTGCAACACCTGTGGGGGCCCCCAGAAACACCTGTGGGGGCCCCCAGAAACACCTGTGGGGGCCCCCAGAAACACCTGTGGGGGCCCCAGAAACACCTGTGCCCCCCCCCCCATCATACCTCCCCAGTGTAGAGTGTGCCCCAGAAACACACTACACCTCTCTACTTCTAATACTCCCCACCCCACCTCACCACTCCCCACACGCTCCACCACTCTCCCCCCCCCCCCACCACTCTCCCCACCCCACCTCTGCCGGTTGTTGCTCCCCACTAGCTGCTGCCGCCTCTGCCTGGGGGTTCAGCACTTCACATCTCCACCTCACCTGCCTACTGCTGTTATTCCCCCCCCCCCCCCCCGACTCTACCACACCTCACCTTCTCTACTCCCATCACTCCCCCCATCACTCCCCCTATCCCACCACTCCCCCCCACCCCACCTCTGCCGGTTGTTGCTCCCCGCCAGCTGCTGCCGCCTCTGCCTGGGGGTTCAGCACCGGCTGCCCGGAAGCAAAAAAGTCCATCAGGGCAGCGAAAATTTCTGGCTTGAGGAGATCCCAGGAGCTCTCCTCCGTTTTAGTCACAGTCACAAAGTCACCCCCCAGGAACACCCGAGCTACACCTGTGGACAAGGGCGGTGGAAGGATGGTGGTTGGTGGAGGGATGGTGAAGCAATTCTGGACGGCACTGATGGAAGCGGGATTCTGGGATTGGTCACAAGTCACAAAGCCACCCCCCAGGAACACCCGAGCTACACCTGTGGACAAGGGCGGTGGAGGGATGGTGCGGAGGATGGTGTGGCGGGATGGTGGAGGAGGGATGGGTGCGGTTGGGCATCGAAAAAAAATAAAATCGCTTACCATCAATGCGGAACAGTGCAATGGCAAGTGGAGATGCTAGGGCAGCTCGGGCAGAAGAAAACTCGATGGATGATGGAGAAGGCGGATGATCCTCCAATGACGAGGAGGTGGAGGGAGAGGAGGAGGTGGGGGGAGGAGGGAAGGAGAGGATGGGCCGGCCAGGGTTGAACATGAGTGAGGCAGGGTTGGGAGTGGTGAGGGTTTGAATGAACATGGACCGCCGTTGCTGGTGCTGATGTGGCAGCACATGTTGCTGGACAGGGTGATTGCGGTGGTGGTAGTGCAAGGAACGCTGCTGGTGAGAGTGGTGTTGGTGCAGATGCTTAGTTAAGTGGTGGGGTTGTTGATGGTGCAGGGACAAGAGGCGATGCAGGCAACGCAGAGAGGAGCCAGCGGTGGTGGTGGTGGCAGTGGCAGTGGTGGCAGCAGTGGTGGCAATGGTGGTATTGGTGGTGGATGTGGCAATGGTGGTATTGGTGGTGGATGTGGCAATGGTGGTATTGGTGGTGGAAGTGGCAAGGGTAGTGGTGGTGGTGTTGGTGGTGGGGGTGGGTGCAGCAGCCGCATCACAGGGGAAGAAAGAGCAGGCCACAGCATGTGACGCGGACAAGGAGGCAGCAGGAGCAGAGGGAGCGGCAATCCCAAGGGTGTGAGGCGGCGCGAGCAGCCTCCATGCGCTCAACTGTTGAGAGGGCAACACAGATGGAAGCGGAGCAAGGTAGAGCAGAGGAGAGCAGAGGAGAAGAGAGTAGAGCAGAGCAGAGCAGCACGGATGAGACGAGTGAAATCACACGGGAGGAGTGGGTGGAACAAAAGGATGGGCTTTGAGAAGCGCTTCAAATCAAGCCGAGTGGATTGGGCCAATGGGAAGGGCGTAGCTGAAATGAAACGAATCGATCAGATCAGATCCTGCAAGATGATCTAATCCGATCCAAGACGAATCAACTGATGGAGCAGCTTGCACTTGCCATGCAGGCCACAACGACTGCGATCAGGCAGAGCATCGGGAAATACGCTGCAGCAGACAGCTTCTGAACTGTTATGAGCGATCTCAGGAATATCTTTGCGAAACTCGTTCTAGTAAATATGAGCGAGCCCTTGCCGATTGACATGACTGACTTGGTTTGAATTGAGCTTACAGCTTTCCTCGGCGACATGTCGGAGCAGCGATCGACAGCCTGACTGCTATGGGCTCAGTCTTTATGGCAGGCAGACGACGCTGTTGTTGATTCTTTTCCGTTTCCCCTTTTCCTTTTCGGATCGTAGGCTCGACGAATAGGACTTTACGGCGACGGGAGGACCCGATCTCTACGCGCTGCAACTGGCTTAGTCGACTGAACGATCCTCTGAAACGAGAGCGGAGCGCGGGCGGAGACGGAGCGGAGGAGCGGAGGGTCGAGTGGAAGGGAAAGGAAGCATCGAACGAACTTGAGGGGGACGTGGGGTGGCGGAAAAAGGGCGTGGCTCGAACAAAGTGATACAGTCCGGTCTGCACACATGGTTGCACTTCTCCGCTTGTTTGGAGATCGACGATACATTCATGTTACGGCTTTGAAGGAGAGACATTGGAACAACGAGTGTTTTCTGCTACAGTAAATATCATAGAAATTACGAGCCAAGATCGTTACATCCCTTTTCCGAACACAGCCTTGATTTTGTTCATTTCCTGTGTGCTCCATTCAGTGTGTATGCACATTTCTCCTAAATCCGGATTTCAGGTTCCAGTTTCCACCATCTTTCCGATCCTTATAGACTCACTCCCGAATCGCATCAGCGTGTCGCTTTCACGTGAGCCAATTTCGAAAACTGCGTGAAATTCTTCTCTGCTGAGCTCCCGTCTAACACGCAGCTCAGCGATCCCAGTAGCTCTCCCCGTTCGTTTGTCTCCGGGCTGCGAATTTGTGACGGTTACGTTGCAGATCCATCAGCAACGGCGAAGCGCGAATAAAAAGGCATAAGCACGAAAAAAGGGGGGCCTCGTTTCGCATCCAGTTCTTTGCCGATTCGGAACGCTACGATTCAGATCGGACTGAGTGTAGAGACGACTCAAAAGTCACGCCGGACATCAGGAAAATACTGAGGCAGTCGATTCTTGTGGCTCCTCAAAAGGCGGAGCCAGGACCAGACGATTATTCAGGCGCCTGAAGAGGCGGAGCCGGTAGCAGTAGTAGTCGAGGGAAGGTATTTAGGAGCGGCCATGGCCCACCCGGGTCAGTGCAAGGACGAGGCATCGGGACTTGAGAAGGTGGTTCTCCGACAGGCTGGCGGCGCGACAGCGGAGGTAAAGCACACCGCAGTCCCGCAATGACAGCCTCGTCACGTCAATTGACGGCGTACGAGGAATTTCGGAGGATTTAGCGTAGCTTCGTAGTTTCGCGGTTTAGAAAGCCTGTCAAATCTCGGTATAAAACGCACAGTGAAGGGGGTTCGCGGTGTCGCTACGTGGTGTCAATACTTACACGGAAGTTCGCATCGTTGTTTCCGAGCTTGGCTTCACGGTTTCCATTGACAAATAGGCCGGCGTTTCGTTTTCAACAATCTCGTCATTTCACGGCGTGCCAGGAATCTGGGAGGATTTAGCTTGGCTTGGAAAAATTTCTTGTCGATTTTTCAATCCTTCATGTCAATGTTAATAAGCATGCCTATCCGTTCCTTCCGCCTTTTACGCAACTCAATCTTACCCTCTTAATTTAGTGATTTCTCAGGTCCACCTAATCTGCGTGCACGAATTCATGTGGTAACCCTGTAACGTCAGGTGTTTTTCCATGGCGGGCACGTCACCTCGTGGAAGCACGACGGCAAGGAGGAGAACCTCTTTATGAGCAGCAAGGTCAGAATGCTTCGAGACATCTCATGCTCTCACACATCTGAAAACCCAGAGAGACTTTTGATGCGTCGCAATACCAGAGGGCGATATCGAGCTTGTTTTACGAGCTGCGAGGTGAAAGTGCCCACTGCATAACATGCCAGTTGCATTTTCTTGAAGGGTATTGCAGGTGGACAAGGTACCAACTAGTTTGGATGTAATTCAGACCTGAGTTAGGTGATGGGTCTGATACCGGCTTATTTGGGCGTTTTAACTGGTCTAGTTTGTTGATCTCAATATTTCATACATGCTATGCCCAAGTGGCCTCTCTCTATGCCCCCACCTTCCTCTCACGCATACGATCCTGGCTCCCTCTCGCGCACACCTGCATACGCACTCCCATACACAGTATTCCTTGATACTCATGCTCTGCCCACACATGCGCATCCCCTGCCATGTCTGCACTGCAAGCAGGCGATTTTCAAGCCATTTAAGGCAATCCGGGCGGCATCGCGGTGATCTTTCTCTGTGCTCCCACCTCCCTCTCACATATCTCTTCCGCACCCCCTCTCGCTCTCCCTTTCACACCCGTGCTCATCCGTTGTACAGGCCATCTTCAAGCCACCCAAGGCGATCCGAGGCGGCATCCCAGTGTGCTTCCCTCAGGTGCGCTTAGCTGCTCACCAAATCTCCAGCTTTCCAGTTCAGCAGCTCGCCAACTCGCCTTCTCGCGAGCTGAACAACTCACCAGCTCAGCAGCTCACCAGCTCAGCAGCTCAGCAGCTCATCAGCTCGCCAGCTCAGCAGTTAACCAGCTCAGCAGCTCGCCAGCTCACCTCTCCACCGCCTCCTCATGCTGGCTCATGTGTTTTTCCATCTACTGCTGACTCCTCTTCCTCTTATCTCCGGTTCTTCATGTGCTGTCCGTTCCTCGAGTCGAGTCGTTCTTGCTGCGCCAGTGTCTCATTGAATATGCGTTTCATTCAGGCCAAGACCGTGTGGCACCTTCCTTGCAATTTCCCCCCTGCCCACTCTCCCTCCCTCCCTCCCCTCCCTCCCCTCCCTCCCTCCTCCTCCCTCCCTCCCTCCCTCCCTCCCTCCCTCCCTCCCTCCCTCCCTCCCTCCCTCCCTCCCTCCCTCCCTCCCCCCCCCCCCTCCCTCCCTTGCTACCTCGCTCCCTCCCTCCCTCCTCCGTCAATCCCTCCCTCCCTCCTTCCCTCCCTGCCCACTCTCCCTCCCTCCCTCCCTCCCTCCCTCCCTCCCTCCCTCCCTCCCTCCCTCCCTCCCTCCCTCCCTCCCTCCCTCCCTCCCTCCCTCTCTCCCTCCCTCCCTCTCTCCCTCCGTCCGCCCCTCCGTCGTCCTCGTTTCCCCCTCCCCCCTCCTCCTTCCTCGCCGTGCCCCCCATCTTTCCTTCCCCTGTTGCAGTTCGGCCCGATGGGACCGTTGGATCAGCACGGCTATGCCAGGAATAGATCCTGGTCGTTGGATCCCGCATCTCCCAACACGGACCCCGCCTCCCTTGATCTGCTCCTCACGCCCTCCCCTGAAGACCTGCGCATCTGGCCGCACAGGTGGGTGGGGTATGATATATGAAGGCGGTATCACTCAGATGCACCTCCCCTCCCTCCCTCCCTCCCTCCCTCCCTCCCTCCCTCCCTCCCTCCCTCCCTCCCTCCTCTCCTCACGCCCTCCCCTGAAGTCCTGCGCATCTGGCCGCATAGGTGAGGGTGCTGATGGCGTGTGCATGCAGCGCTGGTGTGCTTGTAAGGTAAGCTGCAGCGCTGGTGTGCTTGTAAGGTAAGCTGCAGCGCTGGTGTGCTTGTAAGGTAAGCTGCAGCTCCCTTTTCTTTTTGCGAATGAAAGTCGCACTGGGGCGGGGGCGCGAGCTGCTGTCGTCCAAGCGAGTGCTCAACACCGCACCGACAGCAAGGCGCTCTTCCTCACCCCTTCGAGTGTGGTGCTCTCTTCATCCTCTCATTCCCTCCCGGTCCCCCTTTCTTCTTCCGGTGCAGCTTCGAGCTGCAAATGAAGGTGGCGCTGGGAAGAGGAGACGAGCTGCTGTCGTCCACGCGAGTGCTCAACCCCCTCAGCAAGGCGCTCTCCTTCACCGCTTAAGATGTTCTGCTTGCACCCATGCAATTCCCGTGTCTCCTCTTGAAGCTTTGAGTTGCGAATGAAGGTGGCGCTAGGCCGGGGAGGCGGGCTGCTGTCGTCCACGCGAGTGCTCAACCCCCTCAGCAAGGCACTCTTGAGTCGACTCAAATGTCAACACCGACAGCAAGGCACTCTTGAGTCGACTCAAAAGTCAACACCGACAGCAAGGCACTCTTGAGTCAACTCAAATGTCAACACCGACAGCAAGGCACTCTTGAGTCGACTCAAAAGTCAACACCGACAGCAAGGCACTCTTGAGTCGACTCCATGGGCGCTCTCCCTCACCCCTTTCAGTGTTCCCTGCATCATCTTCTCCCTCTCTCTCGCTCTCTCCTCCAAAGCAGCCTTTGAGCTGCTCTAATCCTTGTGCCTCCCGTACTTCTCTCTTCCATATCCTCTCCACCCTCCTTCCCTCCATCCAGCTTTGAGATTCGCATGAAGGTGGCGTTGGGAAGAGGAGGCGAGCTGCTGTCTTTCATGCGTGTTCTCAACACTGACAGCAAGGCGCTCTCCTTCACCACTTAAGATTTTCTGCTTGCACCCATGCATTTTCCATGTCTCCCCTTGAAGCTTTGAGCTGCGAATGAAGGTGGCATGGGGAAGAGGAGGCGAGCTGCTATCCTCCTTGCGTGTAACTTTTGAGTCGACTCAAGAGCTGCTATCCTCCTTGCGTGTAACTTTTGAGTCGACTCAAGAGCTGCTATCCTCCTTGCGTGTAACTTTTGAGTCGACTCAAGAGCTGCCATCCTCCTTGCGTGTAACTTTTGAGTCGACTCAAGAGCTGCCATCCTCCTTGCGTGTAACTTTTGAGTCGACTCAAGAGCTGCCATCCTCCTTGCGTGTAACTTTTGAGTCGACTCAAGAGCTGCCATCCTCCTTGCGTGTAACTTTTGAGTCGACTCAAGAGCTGCCATCCTCCTTGCGTGTAACTTTTGAGTCGACTCAAGAGCTGCTATCCTCCTTGCGTGTTACTTTTGAGTCGACTCAAGAGCTGCCATCCTCCTTGCGTGTAACTTTTGAGTCGACTCAAGAGCTGCCATCCTCCTTGCGTGTAACTTTTGAGTCGACTCAAGAGCTGCCATCCTCCTTGCGTGTAACTTTTGAGTCGACTCAAGAGCTGCCATCCTCCTTGCGTGTAACTTTTGAGCCGACTCAAGAGCTGCCATCCTCCTTGCGTGTAACTTTTGAGTCGACTCAAGAGCTGCTATCCTCCTTGCGTGTTACTTTTGAGTCGACTCAAGAGCTGCCATCCTCCTTGCGTGTAACTTTTGAGTCGACTCAAGAGCTGCCATCCTCCTTGCGTGTAACTTTTGAGTCGACTCAAGAGCTGCTATCCTCCTTGCGTGTTACTTTTGAGTCGACTCAAGAGCTGCCATCCTCCTTGCGTGTAACTTTTGAGTCGACTCAAGAGCTGCCATCCTCCTTGCGTGTAACTTTTGAGTCGACTCAAGAGCTGCCATCCTCCTTGCGTGTAACTTTTGAGTCGACTCAAGAGCTGCCATCCTCCTTGCGTGTAACTTTTGAGCCGACTCAAGAGCTGCCATCCTCCTTGCGTGTAACTTTTGAGTCGACTCAAGAGCTGCCATCATCGCCCCCACCCTTCTTCCCTCGGTGCAGCTTTGAGCTTCGAATGAAGGTGGCGCTGGGAAGAGGAGGCGAGCTGCTGTCATCCATGCGTGTGCTCAACACTGACAGCAAGGCACTCTCCTTCACCTGCGCCCTGCACACATACTTCCGCGTTTCAGACATAAGGTGGGTGACTGTTGCTGCTGCCGTTGGTGGTGCTGCTGCTGTTGTCGGTAGTGTGAGTGACTGGTCCCTTCACCTGCGCCCTGCACACATACTTCCGCGTCTCGAGATCAGGTGAGTCAAGGCCGTGTCTTGGATATCAGGTGAGTCAAGGCCGTGTCTTGGATATCAGGTGGGTAGCTGTTGCTTGTTGCTGCTGCTGTCGTCCATGCGTGTTCTCAACACCGACAGCAAGGCACACTCCTTCACCTGTGCACACATACTTCCGCGTCTCAGATATAAGGTGGGTGTCTGTTGCTGCTGTGTGTGTGTGTACTGCGGTGCGGGTGGCTGTTAGTGCTATGTGCTGCAGGTTGTGGTCTGACTATTCCTCCCTAGCTTTGCTCCTTTCCATCTCCCGTCTTCCTCCCACCCCCCTTTCCCCCCCTCTCTCTCCCCTCCCCCTTTCTTTCCTCCTCTTCCGCGAGGTTCGCATAGAGGGGTTGGATACGCGGTAATTTTTTTCATTTTCTAGGCGCCTCAACATTCTTTTCCACCTCTCCCCCCACCCCGCCTCTCCCCTCCGCGGCAGTGAGGTGCGCATACGAGGGCTGGGGGCGTTGGACTATCTCGAGGGCTGGGGACGTTGAACTATCTCGAGGGCTGGGGACGTTGAACTATCTCGAGGGCTGGGGGCGTTGAACTATCTCGAGGGCTGGGGACGTTGAACTATCTCGAGGGCTGGGGGCGTTGAACTATCTCGAGGGCTGGGGACGTTGAACTATCTCGAGGCACTCCAAGTATCGTTTTTCCACTCTTCTCCTCCCCCCTTTTTCTTGGCAGCGAGGTGCACATACGAGGGCTGGAGGCGTTGGATTATTTCGACAACCTGGATGCTCTCAAGAGAGTCACGGACCAAGGCGACTCCATCGACTATTGTGTCGCCTCAATCGTTGTCTCACCGCCACTCATGCTGACCTCCCTTTCGTCTCCCCTCTTCCTCCCCCTCTGCTCCCCCTCCGACCCCTCTCTGCGCCCTCTCCGCTCCCCTCCGCTTCTCCCCCCCCCCCTCCTCTTCCGCCTCTCCCCTCTGTGGCAGCGAGGTGCGCATAGAAGGGTTGGAGACGTTGGATTATTTCGACAACCTGGATGCTCTCAAGAGAGTCACGGACCAAGGGGACTCGATCACATTCGACTCGGAGGTGAGAGATGCAAGACACTGTTACAAAAGGCATTCACAATACCCTCAGAGGTACTTGTCACCTAAGGGCAGTGAGGGTGGAAGGGGGCAGTGGGAGAGGCACAGGAAGCCACTAAGGGACCAAGGTGGCTCCATCACATTCGACTTGTAGGAGAGTTGGTTCCATGGGCAAGGAGAAGAGTTGCTTCCATGGGCAATGAGAAGAGTTGGTTCCATGGGCAAGGAGAAGAGTTGGTTCCATGGGCAATGAGAAGAGTTGGTTCCATGGGCAATGAGAAGAGTTGGTTCCATGGGCAATGAGAAGAGTTGATTCCATGGGCAATGAGAAGAGTTGGTTCCATGGGCAATGAGAAGAGTTGGTTCCATGGGCAATGAGAAGAGTTGGTTCCATGGGCAATGAGAAGAGTTGGTTCCATGGGCAATGAGAAGAGTTGGTTCCATGGGCAATGAGAAGAGCTGGTTTCATAGCCGACTTGGAGGAGAGTTGGTTCCATGGGCAATGAGAATGGAAGGGCGGTGCGAGAGAGGCAGCAGCTCGAGGCAGGTTGGATGCTCTCTACAGGACGTGTGTTACATTTTTCGTTTTCCACGGTCCGAACTGCCCGCCGTCCGGACAAAAGGCTGTGCGGCAGCACGAAAGTTTGTGTGGCATGAAAGATTGCATCATAAAGACTGCGACTCAAGGCCGTGTGTCTAAATGTACCTGATCTTGACTCTCCGTGCTTCTCACATTCGCCACTTCCTTGTGTGATTTTGTCTATGCAGTTTGACAGAATATACTTGAATACTCCTGCAAAGGTTGCTATAGTGGATCACGCAATAAAGAAGACATACCTCGTCAAGAAGGATGGGTTCCTTGATGCAGGTAACGACTTTTGCACCGATAAGTCGCTCCGCCTGTTTTTTTTTTAGGGTTGTCAAGAACACCTCGAGGCGCCTCAACAGGGAGAAGAGTTCCTCGGTGCAGGTAACAAAGTTTGTCGCGCTTCAAAAGAATGGCGGAATTTTTTATGCAGGTAAGAACTTTTGCAGGGTGTATTTTATCATTCTTGAAAACGCCGTGATGCGCCTTGAGAAAGGGTGGATTGTGCGGTGCAAGTAACTCCTAATTCTATTTGAATCATTCCATTGCCGTCCTATCCACCATGAAGTACAATCTAGTGGATCCTGCGATACTAAGTATGTGCATTTTTCAGGAGATTCGGTTCCTTCCATGACGCAGGTCTTATCTTATAAAAAAACTTCAGTCGTAGCTAGAAGGACAGCAGTGCTTGAAGTCATTCTTTGAGGCGCCTCAAAAATCGGTTCCTTCTATGGCACAGGTCTCACCTTATAAAAGCTTGTGCGTGTGGTGTGTTGATGATGCTCCACTCTCGTCGTATCCCCCCTGCTCTCCTCCTCACCCCTCTTTTTGGTCTCCAATCCTCCTCGCCCAATCCACGGTTGTGTGGAAGTGCAACCCCAACAAGGGGGAGCATGAGCGAGGGGGAGCATGAGCGAGGGGGAGCATGAGCGAGTGGGAGCATGAGCGAGGGGGAGGGAGAGTACTTTGTGGGCGTGGACTGCTCCTCATCCTCCATGCTCCTTTCCCATAACCCCCCTTGCATCCGTTTTTCACAGTCGTGTGGAACCCCTGGGAGAAGAAGGCACGGGCAATGAGCGACATGGGAGAGGGAGAGTACAAGCGGTTTGTGTGTGTGTGTCACACTCTCTCTCTCTCCTCTTCTTCCGCTTCCCCAACCCCCATGCATATCCATTCACAGTGGTATGGAATCCGTGGGAGAAGAAGGCAAGGGCCATGAGCGACATGGGAGAGGGAGAGTACAAGCGATTCGTGTGTGTGGAGGCAGCAGCAATCGAGAAGCCGGTGCAGCTGAAGCCGGGGGAGGAGTGGCGAGCCGGTCAAGAGCTGTCAGTGGTGCCTTCGTCGTACCACAGTGGACAGTTGGACCCTACCGTGGTTACAAGGGGTTATTAGGGGTTGTTGGTTGTAGCACTGGGTTAAGAGGAAGAGGTAGAGAGGCAGCAGTGATTGAGAAGCCGGTGCAGCTGAAGCCAGGGGAGGAGTGGCGCGCTGGGCAAGATCTGTCAGTTGTGCCTTCGTCGTACCACAGCGGACAGTTGGACCCGACCGTGGTTACACGGGGTACTAGCGGTCAAAGCCGGTGCAATTGGAACCTACTGTGGTCACAAGGGATTATCAAGGGTTGGTGTTGGTAACACTGGGTTTCGAGGGAGAGAGTGAGAGGCAGCTGTTGAAGCCGATGGAAGTGAAACCAGGGGAGGTGTGGTGAGCAGGGCAAGAGCTGTCTGTCATGCCTTGGTCGTATCATAGTGGCCAGTTGAACACCACTCCACTGTTGTCACAAGGGGATTTATGGGATTTATGGGGATTACTGTTGAATAGAAAAGCTGGTGCAGCTGAAGGTGGGGGAGGAGGTGCAGATGGGTTAAAGCTCGCGGCCCAAATTGCGGGTTGATTGACAGTTGTTTTGCAGGTGCTGGGAGGTTTAGGGCGCTTCACCTCTCAGTTCGAACAGCACGGTTGTTCGAACAGGCGAACTGTTACATTTTTCGCCACTCCTCGTATGGGTGTTCGTGACGTCGCTAGTCGGAAATTTCGCGAATTTGAACAGAGTTGTCATACGGGGCACGAAGCTCTCCATTCCGCACGTTCGAACAGAGTTGTTCGAACAAAGTTGGGTTTGGTGACAGGAATTCCGCATGGACGACTGATTTTATTGGTTAGCAGGCTTCGGGTCGCACACGAATGTTTGCGACCATTGCAAATGTCGCCATGCAGGAGAAAGTTCATCGATAAGGACATTGTTGTTGGGAAACAAGGTGAGCAGTAGTAGAAGAGCACGAAGAGACTGTTTGACTGGATGGGCGAAAAATGAGTCAAACTTGAATGGCAGACGACAGAATTATTTTTTGCGACGTTTCGCGAAGTCGTCCAACACTTGGCGACGTCGCATGTTCGAACAGGCTGTCACCTCTAGTAACGAGCTGTCACATTCACCAAGGTGTTCAAATCTGTGTTCGGATCTCGTCGGGAAACTGTTCGTACAGTGAATTCGTTACGTATGTTCGGATTTGGGCCTTCCAGCCCCGAGGTGATGCGCCCTTAGGCACCGAGTTTTGGGCACTGACCAATCAACATCGCTGACTGCCATCACCCATCGCCTTCTATGCCCAAGTCGTCGCAGATCGCCGATTTTAGGGGAATAACTGTACTCCGTCTGGCAGTAGAAGACCGTTCTTCACCATTCTGTAACGTATAGAACCGTGCTAGCCAGGCCACCTCAGAACTAATTTCGGGAAGATTGGAAACCAGGAACAAGCACGCATACCTTGAATGGCTCGACTGGCATATACTGCCGTAGGCTATGGCTAGAGTCGCCATCAGCATGGGCCGCTAAGATGAGTTATCAGCGAGTCGCCTTTTTTCTGCATTTACAACTTTCAAGGATCGCAGCAGTCTTCGTCGCGGTTCGTGCTTTAGAGAGACTCATGCTTTGAAATCGACAGAAGCGCACATAGATTCGAGGCGACAGATTAACTACCAATGGTAAAACGTCTGAGCGATATTACATAGAAAGTACAGTCGTCAACAGTCATTCACCATGCTAACTGCTGCAGAGCGTATGTCGAAAGTGGTGAACTGGCAGCAGGTAGCGATCGTGTCAGTAGTCCTGATCGCCACCGTTGTAATCACAAGCCAGTGCTGTAAGCCCCGACACCCGCGTCGCTGTTCCGGTTACATTTTCTAACAAATATTTTGGACGTGACCACATTCATAGTAGTGTTCCCATCACGTAAATCTTCGAGTAACCCCCATTGGCAATGGAGAGCAACACCCTACTAATTTTCGTTGGAATTATTTTGTAGTCTGACGTAGTACGACCATTCTCATACCACATTTCGTCTCATCACGTCCTTGTACAAATCGGCTTTGCACCGTGCAGACACAGCTTCTTGGAATGACGGTCCAAGCCGACCAACTGACGACTGCACTAGCTCTTCCATTGACCAGCAAGACTCTAGAAAATCCTCGAGATTCCACATTCAGGACTACGGCCTCCAGGGACCCATTCCCTGGACGTACATCCGACCAACCGTCCGCGATGAATTTACTGTCAACGGCTCGATCAGGGCCGTTGAGTATTTCCATGGGACGGATATGGGTGACTCTGGAGCGAAGGCGGTCGTCTGGCCGACCGGGCAGATTGACCGGAAAAAGAGAATGGCGGAGGCGAGATCCCCTAGAGTTTCTAAGTACGGCGAGAATGCAACTCTATCTTTCTACGATGCATTGGATAAGTACCCAGTCGAACGGAAATCGGTGCTAGTGATAGGGAGTCAAACCCCTTGGCTTGAGGGAATTCTCTTGGCGTATAAAGCTGGATCGATCACGACTGTTGATTTCAACAGACCCGCTGCAGACTATCCCGGACTGAGGCTGTGGAATATTGCTGAGCTGGACGCCTCAGATGAGTCCTTTGACGTGGTAGCTTCGTATTCGTCGCTGGAGCACGATGGGCTGGGGAGATATGGCGATCCGCTAAACCCGGATGGAGATCGGCTGAGAATGATGAAGGTAAATTGCGCTGAGGTGCTTGGTTGTATGGGATGCAATTTCCATGGTATGTGTAACCTAACCATGCTTCCTAAAGATTTGCTCTCTGCTGAAATTTACTGAATCCTTGCCCAGTCCTTTACCCCTCCACGGCATCTCTCACATCCTACTGCTTCTTGCTTTAGCTGCCATGTCCCTCTGTCCCATTGCTGCTGCGCAGATCAGGGGCCTACTAAAGCCAGGAGGGCTCTTCTTCCTGGGGGTGCCAGTGGGGAACGACACGCTGGTGTTCAATGCACATCGGGTGTACGGTCCCATCCGCATGCCACTGCTGCTCAATGGCTGGAAGCTGCTGGATGTGTTTGGGGTGTCCAGTCTCGAAGCAGCTTATAGGGAGAACCTGAATGCAACAATCTTACAGCCGGTCATGGTGTTGAGGTAGAGGTTTCTGAACGCAGCTATGCATATGGTTGCCATAGTAAACCAGACTTCCAGACGCAAAAGGGGAGTATCTTGCTCCTCAGTCTCTCCAAGGGCAACCACCAGGGCGCGACTATGATATTGGTCGATCAGATCTCCAGAAGAGATCCAGGGTAGTATATTTTATCAAAGCAGCTGTTTTCCTAGAAATTAGGGTAGTTCTACGAAGTAAGCCTGTCTGTTAAGGCTTTGAAATCAATGTTTTTTTGTAAGGGTTTTTCTTAGAGCTGCCTCAGTGTAATCTCCACAGGCTACATACGTGTCAAATGTGATTCTATGCTTGTAGGCTACAGTGAGTAGCACAATAGGGAGTACAGTTGTTAGGGTTGCATATTTGTACTTCCACACTTCCTAGTTTCATTCATTCCGTTGCATTCCTATTCAGAGATGGTATCACGAGTAGGTTAGATCCTCGTTCGTTTTTTTTTTTAACTAGCCTCCACGCCCTACGCGCCCTCCGTGCTCTCGCGCCCTCCGCGCCCTCCGCGCCCTCCGCGCTCTCCGCGCCCTCCGCGCCCTCCGCGCCCTCCGCGCCCTCCGCGCACCTAGCCCGCGCCCTCCCGCGCCGTCCAGCCTGTCGCGCGCCCTCCTTAGACCTCCGCGCGCCCTCCCCCACCGTTGCGCGCCCTCCAAAACCGTCGTGCGCCCTCCTTAGACCGCCGCGCGCCCTCCCTCATCGTCGCGCGCCCTCCTCAACCGTCGCGCGCCCTCCTTAGATCGTCGCGTGCCCTCCCCTCTGCCTGTCGCGCGCCCTCCTCCGTCAACGCTTCCCGCACACCAGCGTGCGCTTACCGCACACCTGCGTGCGCTTACCGCACACCTGCGTGCAATTACCGCATCACTCTGTGTGCGCTTCCCGCACACCTGCGTGCACTCCCCGCACACCTGCGTGCCCTTACCGCATCACTCTGTGTGCGCTTCCCGCACACCTGCGTGCGCTTCCTGCATACCTGCGTGCCCTTACCGCACACCTGCGTGCACTTACCGCACACCTGCGTGCGCTTACCGCATCACTCTGTGCGCTTACTGCATCTCTCTCCCCTTCACCTGTGCACCGGTCCCACGCCATTCCTACTGCACTTGGCTCCCGGCTCAGCGGCTGGCAGCCGCTCTTCCCTCTGGTAGCGCCACCTAGGTTCGGTTAGAGCCCCGCCCCACGACTATTTTCTCGCCGACTGTCTCTCGTCATTTTCCCCGCTGGCGTCCCTAGCCCTCCATAGTTTTCCTCCTCGTTCTTAGCTTCGCCTCTGCCGTGCTCCAGTCGCCTCTAGCATGGGCTCCGCTATGGAGGCTCGTCGCCTCCGTTTCGATGCTGAGGTACGCCCGATCGAGTTCGGTACCTGGCAGCGCCAGACCACACGTTTCCTCACTAGCCAGCGTCAGGACGGCGCCACTCTGTGGGCCCACGCGTCGGGTGCTCTCGCGGCACCCCCGTCCCCCGCCGCCCTGCCGACCGCCCCGGAGCCCACTCCTCTGGAGCGGCAGTTGTTCCCACCTGTGAGTGGCCTGAGGGCCCTTGGCCTTTCCTCCTCTCCTCCTGTCCGCTCCCAGTCTCCTCCTGTGTTTGTTCCTCCGTTGCCTCCTCCTGACGACCGTCCGGCGGTCTGGTCTTCTCCTCCTCCTCGGTCTCCTCCTCACTCTGTCCGTCACGACTTGATCACTCGTTGTCCTCCGCGTGCTCGTCACTCGTCCCCTATTACTGACCTCCACACTGTCCTCTTTTGTTCGTCCACTCGTCGTTCTTGTTCTCCTGTGTCCGTTCTCCCGTCTCCTCCTCCGTCCTCTCTCCCAGCCCTCCCCACTCCTATAACTGACTACTACCGCACTGTTCGTCTTGTTGCCGCACGTGTCCTCGCCACTCTTGTCACTGACTCTCGTTTCCCTCCGTCGTCTGCCTCGGCTCTTACTGCCGCTGTCGC